TACACTGCAGAAGGAAAATATTGCTCAGTGTCCATCCTGACAGCTAGAGCTGAGAGCAGACGAATGGTGGCAGCATTGAGCAGCTGCTGCAGCCACCATGGCTGCTCAGGCAGGAGGGTGGGCCAGAGGACCTGGTGTTCTCAGTCTGTCAGTCCTGCTTTTCCTGAGGAAAGAAGGAAGGGAAGAACTCTGCAAGCTGGAAAGTGATTTGGCTCAATCAGGATAACTTTACTTGTGTGGGAAAATATACTCCGTGCTGTGTTGTTGCACTGAATTAAATAATTTAATTAAAAGGGCGCTGGGTGAGCTGGCACAGACAATTAGGAGACACTGAAAGCTTGGTAAACAAAGTACCTACCCAGAGCCTACAGTGTGAAGTCTGGGCTTGCAGCAAAAGCAGGTTTCTGATTACCAACCCGGAAGGCAGAGATCCCAAACTAGCTTTGGGGCCCTAAGATACTGGGTATAGTTCTGCTTTTGTAAGGACGAACACGCAGATTATTACCTGTGATCCATCATTCTGCTGCTGCTACAGGTGTATGTATCTATGTCCATTCTTTGTTCAGTGGCCTCTATCTGTTGCAGGAAAGCTCGACTTTTAATATTATTTATAGTCTGCAAAAGACAGACTTCTTGATTTGAAGGCAGGCAAAGGCAAGACTGATTTGTGAGTTTAATCTTGCAAATACTGTCACTGTAGTTTTGCAGATGGGGAGGAATGTGTTAAGTGACATGTCCAGACTCACCCAGCCAATGCACAGTGGAGCTGGGCCACAATGCCAGTGTCTCATTCTGGGTACTGTGCCCTCTGCCCTGGCCACTGTGCTGCCTTCTGAGGATGCTGGTTGCTGAGTAGTGATGATGGAGCTCTTGTGAAAGAGAAAATACACAGAACTGTTTCGCGAGTAGACACTGACCCACCTTAACTGAAGGACTGTCAGTATAACATCAGTCATCCCTGAGAATTTCAAGACACAAAATTTTTGGTTGATGATATTTGATTATAACAATGATAAACAAAACTATTTGATCACTCCAAGAAAGATACTGAAATAGAAAAATACATACACACGTGCATACACACATCCAGTTTGTATGGTAAAAGCATCTTCACGTTTAAGTCTGCTTTTCATGGAGCACAGATTGCCAGGACTGAGCACAGATTGCCAGGACTGTTGAGAACCTTTAAAATTTGTTTTGATTCATTTATTTTTATTTTATGTTTATGAATATTTTGCCTGCATATATGTAAGTGAACCACATGTGTAGAATGCCTGCAGAGACAAGAGGAAAATGTTAGATCCCCTGGAACTGGAGTTCTGGACAGTCATTAGCCGACATGTGGGTGCTGGGAATTGAATCGGGGTCCTCTGCAAGAGCAGCCAGTGCTCTTAACCACTGAGCCATCTCTCCAGCCCCTTGAGAACCCTTTTTGAGAAAACAAATAGAAGCTGAGCCTAAGAAGGTTTGGACGAGGGCAGCTGTGCTAGCCTGGGGTAGCTCGGAGACACAGGCTGTCACCTATGCTTTTGCAGCTTCTTTGCATTTTGTGGCTAATCTTCTTCCTTTTCCAGCTCCTTCAGTGTGAGCCTTCCTTGTCAAGTGAGGAGAATTTTTCTTTGTAGGCTCCTGTTCAGAGAAATTATTTGATTTTTTTCACTTTCTATCTCTATCATTTCAAGTTTTTTTTTTTTCAAAGCTTTCAGACCAGAACTAAATTTTCTGTAGGGGCTAAGGCACCCAGGCTGGAAAGACATCACTGAGTGTGTGTGAGGGTAGACCAACCTTTTATCAAAGAGAGGCACTGTCAACTTCTTTTAGCCGTAGCCAGCCACCATTCTGGGGGCCATGGCCTCACACTGTGCCCACCTACACTCTGTTCCAGGTCTGTTCTTCCTTGCCAAAAGGCTGCCTACTGCCAGTACAGCCTCCTACCGGCAGGGGGGCACACTTTTATTCCTCGTAGGTGGAAGCTTACCCTGTTCCTTGGGAGACCAGGAATTGGGCTGCTCTAAGCCTTTACCCTAGCTTGTGTTTTGTTTCTGTCATTGCTGTGTATAGAGTAAAATAGATTGTTAAAAGTGTGAACTCATACATAAGGATTATCCTACCAAGGAAACAGTCTAACTAAAAAGAGAACAGAAGTCCAACTTAAAACTACATACCATAACCTGGGCTAGCTCGGGAATCCAGATAGAGAGTGAGTATCCCTCTCAGAGAAGTTTTGGAGAAACCCTCTTTTTCTTTCTCTTGATCAATGTGGAATTAGATTCTGTAAGTTGCATGATATGTCTCCGAATCTGGCTCCTCTCGGGGCTGTTTGTCTGTAGTTAGCAATCCCTGAGCGTTGTGCTTCTGAATGCTGTTCCACCGTTAGTGACCTTCAGCCCCCTTCCTGCAGCTTACTGGAGTGCTCACTGTTGGCTGCTTTCCGCAGCGCTCCAGTGGGGTCCAGAACAGACAACAGAGCTGATTCAACATTCCACAGTTTTGTTTTCTTTTCCTTGAACAGTAAACTTCACCGGCAGTAGGTATAAAAGAAATTATACAGAAATTGGGATCACAGTTGATGGATGGTCTGTGAGTACTTTTGGCTACATCAGACCTGTATCTTTGGTCAATCACATTTAGTGAATGCTATAGTATTCCTTTCTAGAAAGTGAATGTGACTTTGGGCTTCATTGGTAGATGGCCAAGGGAGTCATTTTAGAGGAGAAAGGATTTTATTATTTTGTTTTACTTATTTTTATTTTGTGTGTATGAGTGTTTTGCCTGCATGTATATAAGTGCACCATATGCAGGGAATGCCCATGCAGGTCAGAAGAGGGCATTAGCTTCCTTGGAACTGAAGTTACAAGTGTGGTTGTTAGATGCCATATGGGTGCGGGAAACTGAATCCAGGTCCTCTGAAAGAGGAGCCAGTGCTCTTAGCCGCTGGCTGAGCCATCTCTCCAGCCCCAAGAAAGGATTTTATGTGAAGGCAAAGGTCATGTCATTTTACTCCGCCCTTCATTCACTGTGAAGAAAACGGTGAGGTCTTTCTGCTCCTAGAAAAGAACATCATTGAGAACAATCTGCGAGTTGTCTGAACCGGATTCAATCCCTTTTTGTTCTGTACCTTTTTCTTTTTCTGAGGTAGGGCTTTCTCTCACTCTGTTGCCCCAGCTGGTCTTGAACTCATGAGCTTAAGCAATCCTCCCTGCCCCAGCTTCCTGGTAGCTGGGATTACAGATGTATGCTATCACACTTGGCTTTGATTTAGGAAGCTCTAAGATTTTTCCAGCTTCAGAGATCACAAAATCACATGCTCCTGCCACTGATGCTTAGCAAGTAATCTACCGTTGAATCTCATCCCCAAACCCTTATTTTATTTTATTTTTGAGACAAGTCCTTGTTAAATTGCTCAGACTACCCTCACTTCCTGCCCCCCTCACCAAGCCCCTCGAGTAGTTGGGGTTATAGGCACGTACCACAATGCCCATTGTGTTTACTTCTTTGTGAAAACATCTAACTCTACAGTAGTGAAGACAGACCCTTGATATTAGTCATGCCTAATTCCGAAGGCCAGTTCTACTGTATAAAAACAGTGTGATACTGATGTTGCTTAACCTTCCAAGTCTCAGTTGCTTTATAAAGTGGAAATTAAAATTAAATTATCTTATAGTTTTTTATAGTAACATATATTAACTCTACAAAATGGTTTCATCGTGACATTTTGAAGCTTAATAAAGTAATTTATTAAAGGATTTTGCTCAGGGTAGCATGTGAATTGAAATCAGTATGCCCTCTTTTATGATTATGAACTCTGAGAACAGTTATTCTGTTTTATCTAACTTAGCTTAGTTCACTAATCTCTTTATTTCAATGACTCTGTTCTGTTGTGTATATAGTTGATAGTATTCATTAAATGTACTGTTATACTGTTTTTAAAAATCGTGGCGTTCCTACGAGGGTAGATTGAATACATGTTCCTATTTTGTCCAGTTCTTCAAGGAAAGGAAGAGCGAGATGACAGAGCAGATTTGTCAGAGAATAGGCAAAGAATCTGTAATTCATACTAAAATATTTTTCTAAATTTGGGATAACATTGGTTAATGTCCAAAGGGGAGAATCAAACAAAGCCTTTAAAGTAATCTCCTTTTGACATTCGTAGTTCTTCTGTGTAAGCTATGGCTATAGAGTTCTTAGAGGACAACTCTGGTCTCCTCTGGAACACTGGTCTCATGTGACATCGTAAAGATCTGCAAGTTTCTTTTTGTTACTTTTAGGTTTGGAGTCATTTTTCTGAATTGTTGTTATATGACTATATCTAGAGCACTATTTATCTTTAGAAAAAGATTAAATGGGCAATGTGATTCTATTGTATATTCTGCCTAAACTTATATTAGACCACATAATTCTATTCTCATAGTGACTCATTAAGGACAATTTAGGGATAGTTAGGAAAATACTACTAATTTCCAAAATGATGCTATGGAGGCTAACCACTTAATGAGTGCCTACGTGGGCCTTGGATAAGGTTAAAGTCTTTATTTATATTTCAATTTAATCTGTAAATGGTCTTGTAAGGTGGGCATCATTATCTCATTTGGAAAATGAGGCACGTAAGTCTCCATCAAGTTAAGTAATTAAGGTTGTGCAGTCCGTATGAGCCAGCATGGAAATTCAGTCTGATTCCAAGTCCTGTGTTCTCTCTCATACCCAGTTATATGACATTCTTAAATCTTAAACTCCCTAAATTTTCAAGTACACCTCTAGCCAAGTATATGAATGGATCTCATTTTGCTTATATGGCAAAGCACGCATAAAATGGTCTTTTTCCTATTAATGGGCTGACCATTTTGAAACCATCGAAGGTAAGTCGGCTTTCTGTTCCCTGCTCACTGCATTAAAACATGTTTTAAGGAACTATAAAAGCATTCTGGCTCCTCCTGTGGAACTGCCTTCTTTGTGACTTATTGTCTTTCTTTTCTCTCTTCTGATCCCCGATGTGTCTGTAGGTGGGCTGGATCCTCTCCATCCTGGACGAGCTGCAGCTGAGTCCACAGCCTCCTGTGGGGGTGCTTCCTCTAGGGACAGGGAATGACCTGGCTCGGACACTCAACTGGGGAGGGGTAAGATGTTTTCTTGGAGAAGGTCACCCCTGCCATGGAGGGACAAACTGCACCCCAGATCACTCTGTGCTCATGGGAGGTTCTGATCAAAGGCAGTATACTGCTGCTGCCCAGGAAATAAGTTAAGAGGTGGGAATCAAAGTGCCTGATTTTATTTGTAGTTTCTTCAGTTTAAACTTAGAATCAGCCAGGGAAGGGGAAGTTTAGTATGAGAAAAACATGTGGTTAGTACACAGATGGAGTGCTTGTTGAGGTAGACACCGGAACACAGTGGGTGGGTTGGTCTCAAGTTTTCATATAAAACAGTCTTGCAAATTTGAATTCATCCCGACCCTCAACCCTGGCCAGAATTGCAAATCTGGTTTAAATGAAGACCTTTCACTACGTCCTTTGAGCATTTGGTTTTTCTGATCAGTGTTATTGTGATTTTGAAAATGTAGATGTCCTATTGCCCTTTCCAATGGGGGGAGCATCTTCTAATAGATGTAGAGGAAGCAATTCTCCAGTCACTAACTAGCCACTTATGCATTTGTTAATTTTATTGTACTAAGATATATAAAGCCACAAGCTACTAACATGCCTAGCTGAGGATCTGTTGGCATTTAATGGCTGCTGGTGGCCAGGGTGGGCAGGTCGTAGTTCTCTTCAGTGGTATAGACACAGTAGGTTACCCATATGTTAGTTAATAACATTGCAGCCATGTTCATGCAAGCAACCCTAATGAAATTCAGTGGGCCATAAAAATGACATGAAATAGACGGGGACTTGTTGGATAGAAGGAAAAGTCCAGAGGAAGTTGGAGAGTGGTGTGAGAGAATAGTTAAATACATGCATGAAAATGTCAACACATTTAAAAGTATTTTATTTATTATTTTGTGTGTATGAGTGTATTACCTGCGTGTATGTAAGTGTACCCGTGTCACCCAAAGCTGCGGAGGTCAGAAGAGGGCTTTGGATTCCCCTGGAACTGGAGTTAAGGACGGTTCATAGCCTCCATGTGGGTGCTGGGAATCAAACCCGGGTCCTCTGCAAGAGCAGTCAGTGCTCTTAATTGCTGAGCCATCTCTCCAGCCCCCAAGAACACATTTTGAAAGCTTAAATCCTAGCATTTCTAGACTTATCAACTTTTAAATCTCCTCTTACTCCACTGTTGTCTAACCTCCATTTCAAATGAAAATGATCATCAGATGTACAACAGATATTAATGTGTCCTTTGGGTGAATTAGCCTTTCATAGGTTTTTGTTGTTATCCCTCCCTCCCTCCCTCCCTCCCTCCCTCCCTCCCTCTCTCCCTCTCTCTCCTCTCTCTTTCTTTTTTGGTCTTTTTTGAGACAGGGTCTCCCTGTAGTCCCAGGCAACCTGGAGCTTACTACATAGACCAGGCTGACCTTGAACTCACAGAGATCTGGCTGCCTACTGAGGGCTGGGATTAAAGCCTGTGCCACCACCAATATGCCTGGCTCCTCTTTCTTTTTTTAGTAGGCAGTAAACAAATAAATATATTTACATGAAGCAACTAGGAATTATTAGTATTAATTTCCCATGTCCAAATCCAGTATGTGACTATCTTGAATAACCATAATACAAATAACAGATCCTCAAGGAGAAAGTAACGCCCCAGCAGCCACAGCCTAGCTCCTCAGGCTGACTTGCCTGGTGGGGTCCTGGATGGATGGTGTCTTAACATATGATCAACCATTGAAGAATGAGATGGAATGCTAATAGGAGCAAGTTGCCGATCAGAAGCCTGCCTTGGTGCTTCCTCTCTCTTTCATATACATTGGGTCTTTGCACTCTGCTCAGTTCCTCTACTCAGTGGCATGAGAGTCTTGTTTTCGCCTCCAGTAAAAGCAACCATTCAGCATGGCCGGCAGCGACTACTGGTTCTTGGAGCCAACAAGTTATTCCTCAGCTCAAACCAGTCAAAGCTAGTGTTGTTACATGACTTTTTGTAAGCATTGTCTTTTAAAAATACTTTGTTTATTAATTTTATTTTACGTAGGAGTGTTTTGCCTGCATGTACGTAAGTGCATGTACGTAAAGCATCTGATACCCTGAAACTGGAGTTAAGGATGACTGTTTGTTGCCATGTGGGTGCTGGGAACCGAACCCAGGTCCTCTGCAAGAGCAACTAGTGCTCTTTACTGCTGAGTCATCTCTCTAGCCGGGTAATCATTATCTTTAAAATATCTGAGAAAAACAGTTCATTCCTCAGCCCTGCTAGTTTAAAACCAGAACTATGGTAGGACTTGTCTGCTCCTTGTGGTAGTGCTGGCTACATGGCTTTCTAATCCACATAGCCAGGGTTTGTGCTTTGATTCTGTTCTAGGGCTACACTGATGAACCTGTTTCTAAGATCCTGTGCCAGGTAGAAGATGGGACCATTGTTCAGCTAGATCGCTGGAACCTCCATGTGGAGAGAAACCCAGACTTGCCTCCAGAGGAGCTTGAAGATGGCGTGTGTAAGGTTAGACAGTTCTTCCTTCAGCAGAATGGAGCCCTGGACATCTGCCTGAGCCATAGGCTACACATCCCTGGCTATAGAGTCACCGACTGGTTCCTTCTATAAGATAACAGGATAGCTTTGAGTTTCTGGCTCCTAGAGCCATGAGTATAATGCCACTACCCTCAGATCCTCCCCCATAGACCCCAGAACTCAGGTTTCAGGTTTCCAAGCTCAGGGAGCTGTTCTCTGTCTTCAGCTCCACACTGGAAAAGGATGTAAACATTTATTAACCTTTCAAGTGAGCTGTAAACAGCCTACGAGAAGATGGAGTGAGTATGTGTATGTTCCCAGGCATTAGGCACATGACTTTTCAGTAGGAGGGAAGCCTTAGAAATTTCTGGCCTGACATCCAATATCCCTTTGTAGCAGGTATGTAACTAAGCCATTGCCTCATCTGCTTGGGACTTGAAATTGCCTAAAGAAATACTTGGTCTTGGTCTTTTCTTCCAATGTCTGAAATATTTCAAACTAAAACCAAACTGAAGGTCATAGGTGTAAACAAGCCTCACTTCAGTACTCAATTCTGAATTCTGACCTGGATTTCTGACAACTGTGATAGGTCCTGGTAGAATCTCTCTCAATACAACTCTCCACTTTTCTTCTGTGGTAGCGTTCCTGTATTTTTGTAGGCTTGAGAAGCCAGTTTAGTAGAATGCAGGTTGTGAGTCCCTCTCTCCAAAGATTCTGTGTGAGGAAGGAGATACAGAGATAAGGCGGAGGCGTCTGCACTTCAGGTAGCCTCTTTGCTGTTTTGAGCCAATCCATTGTTGGAGGCCAAGTACCAAGTTCACTATGATCCTGACTAATTGTGAAAGATGCTCAGATTTCTTGTTTGACTAAACTATTTGGCTAAAATGTTTCTCCCCATCTTCATTGTTTTTTTTTTTTTTCACCTAAACTCTCATTCTGAAATTAAATTTCTATTAGACATCATGATTGTTCATATGAATTTGAGTTTACGGCTGAATATTGTTTAGACATAAAGGTATGTGATATGTTTAACTTATGTCTTTACTTATAGAAATTGAATAGAAAACAGCTAAAGTAGAGGCAGCATATGGAAATTTTCAAGTCATATGCCTACTAAATTTGGATTGGCTAGGCCTACCACTGAATTCTTTTCCCAACAGCTTAAGCAATGGAAAGACATGTAGATGCAGCCAGGGAACGTCGATCTAGATAAATAAGGGCGTTTGGAAGTGGATTTTTGAGACGTGTAGGAAATTGGGGCACATTTTCTTGGAAAACGTGAATAACTTAAAAATAGAGTAAATTGGGATGTTATTCAGGGGCTGGTGACCAGATGTTTCCCTTAGCTGTCAGTGGATGTTAAGACCTGGGTTAAACCTGAAGCCAGAAGGGTATAAACTGTAAAGGGGAGAACATTTCTGCGCTTTTGGCAAGATCACCACGCTGACTTTACTAGGGCCTGGTATTTTGTTTAAGCGCAGGGACTGGACATTCTCAAGTACGAAGCCAGGAGAGTTGGACGTGGTTTTGGCATTATTGTATACCTTTACTTTCTCTCTCTCCTCTTTAGTTTGTTGAAACTGTAGGCGCCTAGGGCCATTTCTTTCCACCAGAGACCAAAGCAGTGCTTTCTGTCTGCATGGATCACTCTCTTGTATGCCCCCCCCCAATTTCATTTTTTTTCTCTTCATTAGACAATATTGTCCCTCTAGTTCAACAGAAAAATCTTATTGATCAAAGGATATGTGACACACTACAATGAAAGGATTTGATAACTTGAAGAGTCAAGTACTTTTTTCAGATAGCAAGAATTACAGTGTAGGTTGGGGGCATAAATCTAACAATTGTCTGGGAACATTAACTCTCTTAGTTTAACATTTCCCCTGTGTTGTGAGTCACAGAAGAAAATGTGGAAGAACTCTCCTTTCCTTTTTTGCATTTTCTATTGTGCTTTTCTGCATCCATTTTGCCATTTCAATTGAGGATTTTATGGTGCACAATCCTCTCTCTCTCTCTCTCTCTCTCTCTCTCTCTCTCTCTCTCTCTCTCTCTCTCGCATGCACACGTGCGCACACACATATCAAGGACCCAAAGGACTATGGGGGAACAAAACTAGGGCTTATGTGTGCTCTGTGAGGCCGCCATATGAATTCAAGAGCCCCTGTGTCTTGTACATACACATTCTCTGCTGTGAGGTGTGAGGAATTTGTCCCCCACGGGCCACCCCCAGATATGTGCTCTGGTACTTGGTTTTATTTTTCTCTTTCTGGTTAGCTGCCCACAACTTCACCTGTACCTTTGTTCACCTTTGTTCATGCTTTCAGCTTCCTCTGAACGTCTTCAATAATTACTTCAGTCTTGGATTTGATGCCCACGTCACCCTGGAGTTCCATGAATCCCGAGGTGAGGACACCATCCATTTCCATCTCCCCGGGAGGGAGTTTCCAGCAGGTGTTTTGCATGTTCCCTTTTTTTCCACTATCACTTACATGTTTGCGTCGTGCTTCTGTGGTGTTCCATTTTAACCTTCAGGATGACCCTGGTATCTAGATTATAAATAGGGCCCAGATCTAGGTATTCAGGGTCACAGGGAGAGAGACAGAGGTACATTCCAGATGACAGGATGCTAATCTTTAAGATTGACTATCTGTGCTGGGGATCAAGACCACAGCTTTGGACATGGTAGGCAAGCCCTGTAACACTAAGCCTCTTCCCTATTTTCCACTGGAACTTTTGAAATAAATCAACTTCTTAGTTAAAGAGAGGTCTCCTCACTAATTAGGATGTTTTTAACTTCACCAACCACCAGTGAGTGATTGAAGTTTAACACTTCCTAACCAGAGTAGCTGAGAAGTGTTAGGAAAAAATGAAAAAGAAACAAAACAAAACAAAACAGGCATGCTTGTACAACAGAGGGGATACACACAGGTTGCTTAGTTTGAGAGGAAAAAGTCTGATGCTGGTGGGCTAGAGAAGAAGATTCTAGGATCTCCACGAGTCAGACAAGTGTGGATAAGCTGTTTGGTAACTTTAAGTATGAGAAGATACAGGACTGAGATGGGGGTAGGACAGTTTTAAATGATAAATAAGAGGAAATGGCAATTGATGACTGCTGGGGGTGGGGTAGCCACTTTTCTTTGGGACTGTGGCCACTGAGAGCTTGCCCATTCCCCAGTGAATGGTCCTATACTCATGTGCATACACACAGCATTAATTGGACTCAGTGGGTTCTATAAAAGTAAAGGACATGAAATTGGGAAGGAGATGTGCTGGAAAGGGCTAGAGGGGGCAGGTGGTGAGTATGATCAAAATACATTGTATACATGAAAATAAAGATGAAATGGTAAAATACTCCATTCAAATTTTCTTAGCCATTTAGAAGTGAGAAAAGTTAGAATTTTGACTTCTGCTTGGTAACATCAGTAGGCCTTTCTGTCTCTCGATCTCTCTCAACTGCTCTGCCTCTTTTACTCCCTAATAGTATAACTAAACTGTGTGTCTTTGCTTTTGTCTTTTATCTGTAGCTTATGTAAGTACCGAGTTCCTTGTGAATGCATTTATATGTGGCTTAGATAATGCTAGGCTTTAAGCTGTTGAACTTGGGAGAGGAAAGCCATCAGTGAGAAAGTGCTTTTCTTCATTTTCTCAGGCTCTGCAGAGCTTAAGTGGTTTTAAGCCACACAACTTGAAACACAGTATGAAAAACCAGAATCCAAAATTTCAGATTTAGATAATAGACACAGAAAGTTCTAACTCTTATGCATGAGCTAGAAGATTCAGATTGTTAGAATTCAAATATGGCTGAAGCACAAATCTATCAAGTCCATTGCTGAATTCAGCAACTCTGGTAGACTTTGACCTTCATGCTTTGAGGAGATAATGTCTGTGGAGGTCCAAGTCTCTGTCAGATGGGAACAAGACCAATTAAAGAGGGAGTTGTAGTTTGGTCGTCCTCTCTGATTAGCTGGGAAATCACAGGAAGAATGAATGGATTACAAAAGAATCTTATATTTCAAACCAGAAACAGCACCACCCATGCACGTTTCTGCCATAGCCTAGTCACATGATGAGTTATTCAAAGGGACCTCTGTTTATAGCCTGTTTTTCCTCTATCTAGTGAGTATTCATTTGGCCAGCAAACAGGCAGTATCCTTTTTCTTAGCACATTTCTTAGCACATTTTCTCCTTACTGTCTTTAAGATGTTATGAATCTGAACTTCTAAATGCTAAGACCCCCAAGTTCCTTAACAATAGCTGTACAGTAACACAATTATCACCAATACATGAATTTCCCAAAGTGGGCATCCTGGCATGAAAAGAGGCCTAATTGAGTAAGTGGCCCTGAATGAGCTCATTTAAGGGAACCTGATTTTCAGCCCAATTATTCTGAAAGTTATCCTAATGATATTTTCTTGTACCGTCATGAAATTTTTATGCATCAGAGCCAAGAGAACAGGAAGAAATACCACACTACAAAGGAATCAGAAGGTTTGCAAGAGAATTCTTTAGGGAAAGGTGATATTTTTCCTCACTAAGCTACAGGACTAATTTTATAATGAAATATGTAGATATTGCTGTGTATATATATTTATACATATATTAGATATATTTTATTATAAAACAGTTGATGAAAGGACACCAAATGCCAAATATTAATCTTCTAATACTTTATTGCTAAGACTTATGGTGGAAAGATTTTAAATTTATTCTTTGAGATGTTCATACATGTATACAATGTATGTAGATCACATGCATCTTCATTCCTCCCTGTCTCTTCTCCTGGACCCCCAGCACCTCCTCCTCCCACCTACATGTCACCTTTTTTTCCCCCATAATCCATTGAATCTGTGCTGCCCATATGCACACAGTTGTGGGCTGTCTGCTGGAGCATCAGAGGTCAAGGGTCACATATCCAAGAAAATGGACTCTTCCTTTCCCAGCCACCAATAGCAAGGGTCGGGGCTTCATGAACTCCTCTCCCATCTATACTGGAATTTGGACTGGTTTGATCTTGTACAGATAACCCCAGTAGCTGTGAGTTTATGAGTGCATCAGCCCTGTTGTGTCCAGAAGACAGCATTTTACCTCATGTTGTCCCCCAACCCCCACTTCCTTGTTCCTACATTCTTTCTCCTCACTCTTCCCTGAGCCTTGGTGGAGTGGGGAGGAGGGATAATGTAAGTGTAAGTGGTATGAAATGGAACTGCAAACATTTATAAAGTCAGTCTATAATCAACCATGAGGAGTTGATCAGAGATAGTTTTCTTGATTGAGAACAACATATAGTGTTCATGAAGGTGAAATTGAGATAGTGACAAATATCTGTGGTTACGATGCTAGAACTAGATTTTGATGATGCTTCTACACTCTTGACATCTATTAGTATATTCTTTTTACAACTAATAAAAATGATTACCTACATATGGAAAAACTCAAACTATTTTCCTTCGTTCAGCACCACCCCCACCTCCCATTTCTGTTCATATTAATTTTGTCCACATTTTTATCTGACTGTTCAAGAAATCTTAAAGTTAAGCTGTGTAAGAGAAAGAAAGATAAGTAAGGCTACATTTTTACTCAGGATGGAAGTGACTCATTTTTGTTGATAGATGGTGAGTGACCACATGTAATTCAGGCTTCAAATGGTCCCCAGATGCACTCACTTGCAATTCAAGACTTCATAACAAAACTCATATAATTTGCTACAAAATACCTGGAGGGTTACTCAGTCTCATGAGAGCCATTGTGAAAAATCAAACTTGGATTGAATAATGTCAAGAAAATACACTATTCTAAATGGGAATTGTGCCAATTCATCTATATGTAATAGATGATAAATATCAATTGCACAAAGACAAAATTTTAAAAATAATGTAACTGCAGAGAGATTTTGGCATGGATGGAAAAACAGCCCATCAAATAGACAGTTCTTAGCATAACTACTTACATGGTATTTCTTTTAGAAGAGACCATTAAAATCACATTTATTTTTAGAGCAGTTTATTAGAATCATTGCTGTACAGATAGTTTAGAATTACCAGATGAAAGTCAGGGAGTAAGGACAGTCTTAGCATTTTGTTTGACTTTGTAGACGGATAAGAAAGTTGTCTAACAATCTGAGTTTCTATATTTGATTAGAAAGTATACCTCACTTGGTTGGAAAGAAAGTGCTTATCCTTCTCAGAGCAGCCAAATAGTTCCTGTCTAAATTGTTGCTACTGTGTATTTGGCAGTACAATAGTTTGGAAGAGGATTTGGAGATGGAAAGGGGCTGGTCACTTAATTGCCACTTGGAGTATTACCCAGTCGTTACTGCGTTATTTCAGTGCTTGGGGAATGCACTGATAGTATTCCAATACATTAATGTTTATCCATGTTCACAGTGATTGTGCTTATCAGTGACAAACTCAGGTCTCTTTTTCCCAGCAGTATGAATAAGATTGTCACTCTTTGGACATGGATATTAAACACACTAGACTTTTAGTGATGCTTCCATTTTACTACCTCCTTGAAATTACTACTCAGAGGAGTTGAATGTTATGTGGCAAGGTCAAAGAAATGCAATTAGGACTCTGGAGAAAGGAATATTTAAATTTGATTTAGGATTTACTACTTTCACCAAAGATTTGGAGACACACAGATCAGTGTGTTTCAAGGGATTATGAATGTTTTATGATTCGTGTCACAGAAAATAGATGTCCTTTAAGAGGGTGATATGTGCAGTGGTTTGCTTCATTTCAACATTGCTGAAGATGATGCTGAGCATCCTACATGCCTCTGGTCTAGACAGTGCAGCTTAAGCAGTTTGTCCTGGAGAAACCCTCACTGTCTCAAACCTTTCTTCCACCTTGAACTTCTGTGTGAAATCTCCTCATCATTACGAGATACCTTCATCTGGAACACATGATCTTATACATACCTTATGCAGGCAAAGGAACTTGTTAAAACATACTTTATGTCTACCTGATCTGATTTGATTCAACAGAGCTTAGCCTTAGTTGCCTTTCATGACACACTAAAAGAGAAAATCAGCTCACACCTAAAGGTAGAGCAACAGTGAGCCTAGACACTTGTAAACACATCTCCAAAGTGATGTTTTATTTTCATTTTAGTCCTGCCTCCCCTACTCTAACCTTCATGAGGGTAAAAGACTACGTCTTACTCATTTTTGTATTATCAGCTCATAGTCCAGGGGGGGGTCTCAAGAAGTTTTTGTTGTAGTGACAAAATGTTTAATTGGAGGATAAGGCCTATGGGTGAAAGATGAGTATCAGCAGAAGGAACATATAGTAAATGTTAGGTTGGTTGTGCAGTCAGTAGATCATATGGGTGTCCAATAGAACTGGTGGAAGAGGAAAGGAATGGGGGCGTTTCCAGAAAGGATAGGGGTAATATGGCTTGGA